GTGCTCGGTTATGCACTGGACCTAAACCACACCACCAGGCTTCTCTGTATCAGAAAAGCTGGGGGGCCATGGGGCTGGAATAGCAGAAACAAGGCAAAATCTTGGGGAACATAGAATGAATAAGCCTCTGCTAAAAGCTGGAAAGTCATCACTGGGAAACGAGTTGAAATGGTGGTGAATTGGCTCATTGCAGGCTGACTGAGCTACTTGAGATGCAGCAGTGAGAATGACTGGGCTGAGAATTGGTGTAGCTTGAAGAGAAGCAAGTGAAATCCTGTGGATGTATCAGGAGGGTGGCAGTAGCCCTTGTAGAGTTCAAACCTTCCCCTTCTGCTCCTAGCAATAACTTTTCAGTCCAGTTTATGTGACTTGTCAGAGGACATAGGAAATGGTTCTGATGGTGGTGTCCTTTGAAATTGCCAAAATACTGATGCTTGCTTGTTGTACTCAGTTCACTTGCTTGGCAAGCCTTTTTCCAAAACAGGAGAGGTCAGTTCCTGATGTTACCTTCCATGGCGTTTTTCATATTCAGTTGTTGCATCTTGGTGCTTAGCTCTTGAAAATTTAAGTCAAGATGAGTCTAGAAAAAAGCATCGCTGTCTGAAAGTGGGAAAGAGAAGCCTATGGCATGGGTTTTTGGAAGTCGTTGGCACTACCAAAGACATTTTTGTCTTACAATTATTTATATGTTTTAGATTGATATTTGGAGTGTGCTCAGATCAGTCAACTTAAATGTATCTTTGGTTTTTGTGAACATAATTGTATGTAATATTAGAGGCCATTAAAGCTGAAGTTTTCAGAATGTATTGCTAGTGATAATAGTCAGCGTGGGTGTAGCCTAGTCTGCTCTTCACCATCTGCTCATACTTGAGTTGCAAACAAAAGACATCAAAATTTCAGAGTGCTGCCATTACCAAAGCATGCCTGAAAACTGCGTATTTGTTTGAGACCGAATGTGTGTCAAAGATGTATTTTAAAAATGATCTTTTCAGCTTTGCACTTCTGAGTGAAACTGAATTTCTCTTTCACCCAAACTATGATGATGATGGTGATTTTTGTAATATTAATAGTAAAAAAAAAAAACGCTTAGGCAGTTCCACTGTGTGGAAACAAGCCGGTGTTTAGGTATGTGCACATCAGACCTTGAAAAAACTTACGGTGTAGAGGTGGGTGACAGGAGGAGAGGTTAAGCTAAAGTTTCAAGTACAGAAAATTAAATCTTGAGGTTCAACCAGCTGGAATTTTTTAGCGTAAGTAATATAAGTGTTCCTGTTTTTCTTAGTAGTATTTTGAGTTTTCAGATATGGGTCAAGGTTGTTCTGGGCCTTCTAAGAACAAGAAAAGGTTAGGTACAGAGAGCTTTCAGAGCATCCTAAAATAATTTAGGTTGCAAGGAACATCTGGAGCTTGTTCAGTCCAATCTCCTGCTCAAAGCAGGGTGAACTTTGATACAAGATCAATACTGACCATTTTGGTGGCCTTTCGCTGGACTTGATCTGCTATATCAGTGTCTGTTCTGCGCTGGGGAACCACAGCTGGACACAGTACTCCAAATGTGGTCTCCCAAATGCTGAACAGAGAGGAAGAATTGCTTCCCTCGAACTGTTTGCTATGCTCTTGCCTAGGATCATGCTTTTTATTGCAATGTGTCTTCTTGTTTTCCCATGACAACAGTGTTTTGGAATAATTCATAAATAACTTGGTTTGCCAGAATGTAGTATTTTGTTGTGGCTGTTTATATATTTTTATTGACCTGCAAAAGCAAGCAGAAGAGTGTGTATGACCACAGATTCCTCTTGTCCATGGAGGCCAACCTAAGCACATGGTGCATGTCCTCAAGAAAGGCTTAGCCTTTGAGAAGGCTTTTATCATTAGGTGATTGGTTTTCTCTTGCCATGATCTGCTGCTCTGCCATTTAGTTTCCTTGGCAGCTGCAGATGGTGTGCGCTTAGGGATAATTAAGGATCAGAGAAGAAGTAATTCCAGCGAGTTTTGCTTTGGGTTAATTCCCCCATCTGAATGATCAAATAGTTTTGACAGAATGGATTAGACCAGAGTGGCTCTCTTTGTTTTTATCTACTTCCCACATGGTGGAGCCACTCAATTACTGTGCGTAAGCTTGTAGTCAAGCTGCAAAACTTAGCTTGATATTCAGAAGATAAGTCATCTTGGTAACTGAGAATTCCCATGTTAATTTATGCCCAGCCATTTCAGATTTGCAAGGTTTGCCTTTAAATGGGCTTGAAACCAGCATTTACCAACTGTTTTCTTAGACCTCTGCCTAACTGTTGTCCAGGAAAAGTCCTGCTGTTCACATGGTTTTACAAATCATACTATGTTTCAGTCTGTAGCTTCCTTCATCGTGATTTTATAACTTCTGTGTTAAAACTGATGAAAGATTGCAGTTGCTTTCATCTGTCACCTCTGCTTAAGCGTTTGCCAAATATGTTCAGTTTCTGTTAGGCCAGAGATTAGTACAGTTGGCATTTTCAAGGACTGACCAAGTGTTGCTTTCCAGCAAAGGCTTTTTCAGATTGTTTCATGTTGTTAATAGTCAGAGTAGCTGAATTTTTTGAAAATTGCTAGCAGAGTAGTGAGATTAAGGCTGATATCTTTGCTTAACTGACTGATGTGAAATATTAATAGTGAATTTGGTTAGACCAGATGTCCCAAATTAAATTTGTTCATCTGCATTGTATAAACAGATGGTTCTGTTACAGGAGATTCATTCAGATAAACTTTTTTCCATGCTTCACTATCACAAAGTGTGAAAGCACAAGCTAATAACAGATGAAACTGAGATCAAGCCAACTGTACTAGCAGGACTGCATGCACAGGTTCTGTGGTGTGTGGAAATCCTAATTTCTGAAGTTGAACTCTGCTCTCCAAGAGAAAGTGCTGAATAGAAGCAAAATGTAAAAAGAACTTTGGGCTGTCCATGGAAATAAAGCCACTAAATATTGAGGAGGGTTCTTGAGAACATGCAATTAAAAAAAATGAAAACAACAAAAAACCCCAACCAACCAAAAACCCAACAAAACAAAGCATCTCTGATTGTGATTTCTATTAAGTGAGGATCACAGCAAATATTTTAATGATTCTCTGCTCTTTGTAGGCATGCTGCCTGAGAAGAAAGTACTGGGTGCTTCTGCTAAAGATTTAACTCCAAGGTAAACCTTTGCCTTTCATTGACTGTTGAACATTCTGGTTAATGGTTCTGTGCAGCTCTTAGTGAATACAGACAACTTCTTCCATGGTTAGTTCTTGATGCCTCAGCTAAATGAGTATATACCATTGCTATCTTCTTTTCTAAGTAGAAAAGGTGAGGTTCAGACAACTTGCCAAAGGTCATACTGACTGTGTAGGCAGATGATGCCTCAGGGTTCTTGGTTTGCTCTGTTGGTTTGTAACACTTGGACTGCCTTGCGCTGTATACAATTGTATGGCTTATATTTGCAGGCTCCTCAGCCTTGCTTCTTGAGAAAACTCCTGCAAAGTGATTCCAACTGGGCTGTGATCTTTTTTGACTTTAGCTAATTTGTCCATAAATGTATGAGTTGGCATGCCTTGGAAAAGTACTTAATTTCGAGCTGGAATATATTAAGATGCAATAGCTGTATTCAAGTTTCTACAATATGCAAAGCGGAGCTAGCACTAAAAGCCCACTGTGATACACCTGCTGTTGTCACCAAGGCATCATTTTATTCCATGGTGCCTTGAGTCACCAAGGTTCAGCTTCTCACTTTGCATCAAAATCCCCTGTGAATGTGTAATCTCTGGGCTAGTTACATGCAGTCATATAAATATTGTGGCTTTTGAACAACTGGAAGGTGGCTTCTCTTCTGGAGTGTGAGGCCACACAAAACAGTTTGAAGGCTTTCTGTTTCTTGCCTTACCTTGGATTTATTACAAGGTTTGGGCAGGTTGAGACCATAGGAATGTAAAGTCTTGATTTGGGGAGATGATGGAAATTGTGATTTTGTGGTATGCGCGTGGAATCTGTAACTCTTGGAAGCCGCCCTGGCTATTTAATACTTTTGTCTGGAGTCAAGATTTTGTCTTGTTGGAAAGGTTGAGATACTGCAAAGAGGGTGCACGTGCCTTTTAAGTTAAACCACGCCATATAATTTTAGCTACAATGTGCTGACTCTCAGGATGCATAATTAGACTGCTGTTATTTGAATGGTCTTTTCAAAATCGTTGCCTCTGGACTTACCTCTTCAAAAAACAGTAAATAATGTAGTTGGCTTGTAAATTCATGAAAGAAGTTCTGCTTGAAAACTGCAAGTTAAAGGTATTTTAGTATGCCCAAAATAAGTGTGTGTTGTTTTCTTTACAGTTATGACTGGTTCCAAACCGATAGTTTGATCACCATTGTCATATATACGAAGCAGAAGGTAAGTGTGTTTTATGAGAGGGAGAATTGTGAGATCTAGTTGTGATCCAGCTTGAATTCTGGAAGAGCTTCATTAAAATGTTTTTTTTTTTCTTTATCTATGAAAGGATATGAGTGCAGAGTTGGTGATAGTTGACTGTCAAGACAAGCAATTAAGGGGAGAAATCATCATGGGTGACCGCTCATATCTTGTAGAAGTTGGTAAGTACTGTAATTTTGCAGTTGAAAATACTGATTTTTCATTCTGCTTTATGAAAACCCTCTCATCAGACCATATGCAGTTTGGATATACCAATTAATATTTTATCCCACTTTTAATTAGAGATGAGTACCTTGATGTAAAGCAATTGCATTATCAACTCCCATCTTCATTTGTTTGGTATGTACTTAATTTTTTACATGTGGAATAAAGTATAGTAAAAAAATCAATGTAAAAGTCCTGCGAAGTTTTTCTTCAGGTGTGTTTTCAATGGTTATTAAAATGCCCTTATACAGAAAGGGCAAGTGGAATGATTTAGATAAATGCAGACGGGTAGCTTTGCATAAGTGACAGCTAAAAGGAATAGGGAATACATTTCTTAATGTTACGAACTAGGTCTGCAGAAGTCCCTGGGACTGATGCAGTGTACAAGTGAAAGTTCAGGGCCAGATACAAATGCACAGGGCTCGTTAGTTCACTCAGCATTTCTGTCCTTAAACTGTATGCCTATCAGACTACTAGAATGTAGTTTTGATTTTGCTTAAAATGGAGCTTATTTCTCTTTATTTCAGACCTGGAGCATGCAGTTCAAGAAGACTTGGCTGGTAAGTTTCATCACTTGCAGCACTTCTGGATCTCTTCTGATGCCAGAATGTGGAACTTCAGTTTGTTTTTATTTTTTTTTACTTTAGTTTTGCTTACCTCAGGGTTCTGACACAATCAAATCAAACCATAACATTGATTAATTTTATTTTTTAATTTTGGCATTTGGGCCTGTGAAAGTAATAAGCTGATGGTGCTCTGATCTGTTTGAGTATGACAAAATATTAAAATAATGAGAAGTTAGTTCTGTTGTGTATTTGTAAGCTGTTCTCTACTTACATTGGGATTTTCTTGGATTTAATTATTCATTCAAATACTCTTGAAAAGAAAGAAGTAGTAAACAATGGGAATTACCAATTTCCAGTAAATGAGGACTCTGAATTAATGAGCTTTTTTTTTTTTACCAGATGGGCTGTGAAGCTTTTCACAGTGTATTTAGTAAATAAGATACATTAATTAGGCAGATTAAGTTAGTGCTTGTTGTTTTAAATGCATTGTAAAACATCATAAAGACATAGCTGGAAGTACATTTAATTTGCTATTTTAATTTAACGGATTAATTCTGTGTGTCTTGAGAAATGACTAATCCTTCTAAAATTTCATTATAATGGAAAACTAATTTTTTTTTTTGGAACTAACAATAACAGTGTGAAACCTTTTTCTCGTTTAGTGCATATTGCTGAAAAAGTTGGAAAAGTAGAGATTACCTTGAAGAAGAAGGATAACATTCATTGGAAAATGCTGGGACAGCCCTTGGAGAGTCATAATACATTTATCAAACGCACAGACAAAGGTAAGCAGTTCCAAGGCCAGATCACCACTTGTTTTAAGACTTTTTGGAGCACATTATGCATATTTAGTTTCTCCCAGGATTTTCTCTTCCTGTGGTCATACTTCATTTCATTCAGGAAATTCTCCTTAGAAGGGTTCAGCTCCGAAATGGTTTTTTTTGCTTTGCTTTGTTGTTCTGTGTTGTCCTGCAGTAGAGTTGGAGGTCTTCCCATCTTGTAGAAAGCCAGGAAGAACCCAGTAAGGGAAGGTGAAGACTGCTTGAGTGTTGTTGCATCTCGTGGCTCTCTGTGTGCTTAATATTCTTTATGTCTTTATGAAAACCTCAGTAGACTCAATCATGGGAGTAACTGTAGTGAAGGAACAAAAACCTCCACTGCCAGCTGTTACTATACTGCAGTACCATTGTTCAATGCTGTGATGTTGTTCCAGCACACTGCATCTTTGCAACTGGAGCTGATTAAATAAGGCACTTCACATGTGTGTAGGTGTCAAGGCCAGCTCTCAATAAGCTGATGTATCTGCCAGAAGCAGTAGAGGTTATATATGAGCTCATTTTGTGGTAACAATAGTATGAACTTGATGCAGAACCAAAGTGTATTACCCTGAAGAGTTTGCTACTTTTTTTTTTTACAGCTAAATTAAAAATTTCTGCACAATTGCATGATACAACCTAAGCATTCTCCTGATGTTATTGCAGCTGTCCAATTTTCTCAAAAACACTCTTGGCCTTCTGTCTAATAATGCTCAGAAGTTGACTGATGTTAGTCTGCCTTATTATCTGTGAAAGCAAAGCTGTCCATTTTTAAGAGCTAATTAAATGTTGATTGCCATGTCATATACCCCTTACTGGCTCTCAGTTCTGCTGCTTAGGCCTTTAAAGTTGAGACATTACTGTGGCACAAAAAGGAAGGCTGCCTGCATAAAAGCACATCTCTTTAGCAACCTTTAGCTTATGTAGAATGTAATTTTCCTTATAAGAGTTTCAGAAACTGTTGAGTCATTCACTTTAATTTTCAATTTGATTTTTCAATATGATCCTCTGTATTTAAGGGGATGCAGCCTGGACTAATGTTGTCCACTGTCCATCGCTCACTTTCTCCCTCCTTATCACTGTTCATGATTATGCAAAACAAGATGAGAAAATAACCTGAAAGAACAAGAGGTGTAGAATGTAGTGGCAGTATAGATCCTCTAAATTGAAGAAGGTGAGGATGATTGGATGCAATTCTCAAAAATCCAAATTGAGCATTAGTAATCAGTGCTTCCTAGATGATTATTCTGCAGTAGTTTCTTCTAAGAAGTCTGTCTCCAACATAGCATTTGTCATGTTATGTGGGGAAGTATTGTATAATTTTATTATATATTACTGACTGACTGAGTTCAGATCAGTTTAATAGCCTGGGGTACATCAAAAGAAGTATGGTTGTAGGTTGAGGGAGGGTCTCCTCCCCCTCTCTTCTGCCCTGGTGAGACCGCATCTGGAATATTGTGTCCAGTTCTGGGCCCCCTGGTTCAAGGACAGGGAACAGAGGGCTACAAAGATGATGAGGGGACTGGAGCATCTCTTATGAGGAAAAGCTGAGAAAGCTGGGTCTGTTTAGCCTGGAGAAGAGGAAACTGAGAGGGGATCTTGTTAATGCCTATAAATATCTAAAGAGCAGGTGTCAAGAGGATGGGACCAGACTCTTTTTAGTGATGCACTGGAACAGGACAAGGGGCAGCAAGTACAAACTGGAACACAGGAAGCTCCATCTGAACATGAGAAAAAATGTCTTTACTGTGAGGGTGCCAGAGCACTGCCCAGGCTGCCCAGAGAGGTTGTGGAGTCTCCTTCTCTGGAGACATTCAAAACCTGCCTGGACATGTTCCTGTGTGACCTGGTCTGGGTGATCCAGCTCTGGCAGGGAGGTTGGACTGGATGATCTCCAGAGATCTCTTCCAACCCTTACCATGCTGTGATTCTGATTTTTTTCACTTTGATTTACATATCTTCTACTGCTTAAACATTACCTTTTATTTCCCGTGAATATGAGAGTCTTGTTTGAAGACAGTGTAACTGATTGAAAGTACCTGAAAATCCGAGAACAGATTATCAAGTAGCTATGTTACCTTGTTATACCTGGTTTTTTGTTGTTTTTTTTTTATTTATTTCAATCAGGTTTTGTGTATTCATAGTTTTTAGTAAGTTACTGACACTTCTAACAAAAGTAATCGTTTTTCTGGGAACATTTCCACACTTCCAGTTTGGTGGCAAGGTTATTCTGAGGCCATGGACAGTAAGTGCTCATGGGAGCACTGATGTTTAATTCCTCAGATTTTTATTGTCTTTGAGACTTTTTGTAGTATTTCCTTGTGTATTGATCATTTCAAACATTTCCATTGTATTTGAAGCACAGGAAGAAGGGCTGAAAACCAGGCAGGATTGGCACTTGAAAACTTTACGTGATTTTAGGTTGTTATTACTTGTTCATATGACAACATTCAGAAATGATAGTTTGTAAAGGTGGTGGCTGGCCGGTGTTTCTGTTAATTGATTGGGATATTGTGGAAACCCTTCAAAGGTGAGGAGGATTTTTACAAAATTTTAATTTCATTTCAGGGAATGACACTGAATCTTAAGATGTATCAATAGATTCAGAAGAATATTCAATACTGTTTCTGCTCCTTAAGAAGAATGAAGTATGTAGTTTTCTGAAGGAATAATTATTTGTACCCAACAGTATTGCACAGAAAGCATAATTCAATATAATTAGATTGTCAGTGTAGGGAGGCTGGGGACACACAATTCTGAGAATGCTTATTAGGAAATATAAACAAACCATAAAGGTCACAGTGCCAGCATCCTGTGAAATGGAAATGCAGTATTGAAAAAGGAAGGCAGAACCTTCCCATTTGAAAAAAACCACACTACAGTGACAGAGTGCAGTTTTCCTCTTGGGTATTAAGATGTGATTTTCTTGTAGGTGGTTTTTCTGGAAAATAAGATGTGGAAGCGAACTCATGAGGGGGAACAGGTTGTGATCACCACTGCATATCATGCTTTTTTGTCAAGGTGGAATTGTAACCAAGTCTTGGAGGTGTCAGACAAGTGCTCCAATACTGTTACCTAGACCTGCAGTTTATTGAAGATTGCTTAAACAGACACCAGCTGGAAAAATATTTTTAAATTAGCTTTTGCTGTGGAATTATCTAATAAAAAATTGGAATTTAAATTCCAGCTGTCTTTCTTCATCTTAGTTGGTAAAAAAATCTTTTGGCTTTGATTTTTCTGCTTGTGGGATTTTGTTGCCTGCTTTTTTTTAATTTATTTTTTTTTTAATTTGTTGAGCTTCCAATCCCTTATAGCCCATGACACTTCCCTTGAGTTACAGACCTGTTTAGGCAGCATGGTACTATCATCACACCGGTATTTCAGGTTAGAGCTCAAATACTGCAGTGCTGAAACCAAGGCTTAGCTGAAAGGGAGAAGAGGAAATATTATTTCTGGTTGTCTTCAATTTACACCTCTGGGTTTATATCTAGATTTCTACAATATGCTGTCACTTGCCTTATGCAGCAATCGTGGGTATTTTAGGAAAGCTGAGATGCTCGTTCCCAAGTAGTCAAATAATAACCTATAGTGGTAATGGCAACAGGCCTATGTCAGTTAATAGAATATTACAGTTGAGAGCTCCTGTATTTGGCATTTGTTGCTAAATTAACCTTTGTAAGCATGTTTCTTCCCAGAGCTAAAGCTAATAAGTGGTTGTTTTTGCATCTGTGCCCTTTGTTGTTTGAAGTACTTCCTCCTTGCTGCTTTATCCCTGCTTATGTTCTGCAGCCTCTGGTTGTAATGAGCAGGGCACAACCCTCTATTTTGTTGTGTTTTCAAATCCTCTCTTAGGCTGTGAAGTGAGGTAATGGAGCAGATTACATAGATGAGGGTGGCTGTTTAGTTGGAATGGGAACAGGTCTGGGCAGCCCTACACCAAGCGCTTTGCCACAGAGATCATTCCCAGTAGAAACGATCAGATACTGCCCCTGCTGTAGCAGAGTAAGTGGCTTATCTTGCTCTGAGCCTGTAGTGGATATAGGGAAAACACATTACTTCAAGCTTCCATAAGGTATTGGTGAAACTGGTACAGTTTATTTCCCATTTGTCCCTGAAAAAACCTGAATATTCTGAGATGTTCCTTTTCCCCCACTGTCTCTTATCTCTGTTGCTCATAGGAATGTACACAGGGTTTTTATAGGTATTCTGATTAAGCTGTGTTCTTTCTGTGGTTTCTTTCCAAGTGTCTTGGAAGATTGTGGTGGAAGTGCGGACCTTCACGTCTAAAATATTTCTTGTTAATGTTAAAGTGTGCATTGCCCGTGTAGGCACAGACGTGAGTTTTATTTTGTCATATCTGAGCAATTTGGTACTGGTATTTTGTACCTGAAGAATTGTGCAAAGCTGTCTGCTAGTATTGGGTGTTTTTCTGCTTCTTCCCAGTCAATGCTGATAACTTACAGATTCAGTCTGTTATAAGCTTAATGTAAGGATATAAATGAGTCCTTAGTCCAAAATTAGAAAAACAATTATAAGGAATGATACAAGAAGCATCTGTTTATACATACCTTTTACTCTTACTATAAGGTGTATAAGAATAGAAAGACAGATTGAGACGTAAATAACAAGTACAACTATGTTTTTAGGACCATTCTACAGAAAGTGCAAGTTGGTTTCGAAGACAGAAGTTACCCACAACACCAAGCTCTTCTGCTTCCTGTTGCCTAAGAGCACACATCTCCGTGTTCCCACCGGACAACACGTTTACCTCAAACAAGCCATTGCAGGTAAGAAAAATTGAGATTGTAGCCATGGGTATATTAACATAAATCTCTTTTCATAGTCTTAGGAGAACACCAAGTCCATGGCCACTGCTGCCCTGGTTGTAGTTAGAGGGTCTCTGCTTCTGTGATCACAGTCAGTGTTTAATAATGGGGTTAATATTGCAGGGAAGCTAATTACTGAGATGGCTGGCATTTACTGCTGGTCTTATTGGCTCTTCTTTCAACTCTCCCTTTAAAACTTTCTTCTGAAGTAGTGCTGTCCATCTTTGAAGGAGGTGAAGCTCATTGTATATGTGCTCTATATGATGAGCCGGTCCCTTTTAGTTTGCAACTTTTTTTGGCACTTGGAGGGTAATGGTGCATTTTTTTCTTCTTCTTCTGAGGGATTTATAGCAGTCGTGGTAACTCTGTTTTACACCCCAGTTGCACAATATTAGTGTTAACATGAGGTTGTGAGAGGGATGCATCTTGAAAAGCATTGTTTAGATATTATTCTTAAAAATTTTGTAAAAGGTGAACTTAAAAAAAAAAAAAGGGAGGTCAAAGAAATATCTATTTCATTTTTTAAGAATACTTTTTAAAATTTGCATATCAGTGGTTATGCTGGTCACCGTTCTTGCATTGCACTATGCATGGTAGAAAGATTTCTCAGAAGAATTTTAAAATGTCCTTTCATTGCAGGCTGTTTTGTCCTCCTCCTAATTCATTTTGTCCTCCCTACCTAATTCTTTACTGGTGTCTAACTCTTGCAATCTTTCTTTCTATCATTATGCAATAGCTTTTTGAAATGATAGTGAAAGAAAATATAATCACGCAGTACTAAAAATCTGCTATTTCAGTTCATAAAAAAATCAAGCTGTGGTACTTGAAAGTAAATGCAAATGTTTAGATTTTCATGTTCTTTGGACGTGACTCTGTGTCTTTTTCTTAAGTTTTTTTAATTGCTAAGTAGTGCAGAAATCCCATACTGTACAGTGGCCTGAACATCCTGACTGGAAGTGGAAAGTAACACACTTGCATAACAGCATGTGTTGGTGTTATTTTTATGGGATATGCAGCTTACTTTTTTACTGTTTGTTTATTTTGGTATTTTTTTCTGTAAATTTGGTGGATGTACAGTACTTTTCATGCTATTTCAGCTACCTTTTTGTCTTCTCTCTAGGGACAGAGGTAGTAAAACCATACACACCTGTATTGCCTTCTTTGCCTCTGGATTTCAAAGAACCATCTTGCTGTGATGGTGCACATATATATTTAATGATTAAAATTTACCCCTGTGGACTGTTCACACAGGCACTTGACCACCTACAAATTGGTAAGTATATGTTGGGGGCTTTTATGTTTGATTTTGCAGCAATTGCTTTGTCTTTTCTGATTCACTGTCTGGATAATGTGATGTTCTTATTGTTTACCTACTTAGACATTTGGACATACTTACAGGGTGGTTTTTTTTCTTAAGCCTTATTCTCCATGTCCTAAGTGTACAGACTTATCCTCACTGCAACTTGGAGTTGCCCATTACATAAAGCTCTCCTGACTGATCTTCCAGATGTGTTCATGTTTAAGTGTTCAGATGTGTCAGCTGTATCACACATTATAGTTGATCACTTTGGTCTTAGAACAACTTTCTGTCCTTTTGAATGAAGCAAGATAGGTCTCTCATATTAAAATTAAGATGTGCTTCCTTGTCCGTTTCAGATAGGGAGGTAGATTTCTAATACCGACTTCACAAATGTTTGTGCACTCATATAGTGTGAAGTCCATCGAGACGAGACATTTTAATTGAACATCTGTTCTTTTAACAATAATGATCCCTGTGTGAAATGTCTAGCACCTTTCTGAAAGAAACCCTTATACTACAAAGATAAAGCCAATATGAAAGGGCCTTTAAAAAATCAGAATACTAATTAGCTTATTTTCATCTCATTAATGTATTCCACCCTATTTTTATTTTTTCTGTAAAGGAGACTATGTTTCTGTCAGCAATCCTGAAGGTAACTTTAAGAAGTCACAGGTTCAAGCCTCAGAAGACCTCTTTTTATTGGCAGCAGGCACAGGCTTCACACCAATGGTTAAACTGCTGAATTTTGCTCTGACTGAAGTTAGTTGTCTCCGGTACGTACACTTCCTACGATTTAACCCCAAGCAGGAGTGATCCATAGGAAGGATGAAATGTAATGGGCAACCCTCAGTGTTAGTAAAACAGTTGACAAAATGAAATGGTATGAAAGCGTTTTTCTTCAACTTACACCAAAACCTGGCGTGCATTAGGGAAGAGTCTGGAAGTTCAACAGACTTGGTACTGTTTTTCTGTACCTTTGAATTTGAACTCTTGTAATGGAGATTAATTTCTAATACTGAGTTTTATTCAATAGAAGTACAACATGTTTTGTTTCATTGTGGCTTTATGAAGCACATTTTGAAACAACACATTAATTGGACACAGTTGTCTTCATAGTAAAGCTAAAACGGATGACTTTTGCTGCAGAAATCTGTTTCTAGAAAAAACTCTAAACCCAGACATTATTCTTGTATTGCCTATTGTGCAGCAATTACATATAATCCTATTTTGTGAGCAGAGAGACTGTGTACTGTTTGGCTCTTCCAAAGCAAATAACAAGTGGCTGGCTGGCTTTGTGAATCTAAACACTAGATCTATCATGGGACAAAATGCTTGGGAAGCACTACTAAGGGAATTTGGAATGATGTGGGGTTTTTTCTTCTCGAGGGGAAAGCTACCATGTCAGGTGAAGGTAGTTGTGATCATGTGAAGCAAAACTAAGGAGAGCATAGTAAAAGATGCAAATCTTGAAATTTTGTCCCTAACCAGAATAAACAGAGTGGATAATGTGTGAAAGGCTACTACTGCGTAGGTAGTGTTTGTATCTACTCTGTCCTTGAAAGATGACCAGAGTGGCTTATTTTAGCTCTCCTGAGCACAATTTCTTATGGGAGCTCAATGCTCACAGTTGGTTTAGGATGCAGCAACTCCTGTTTTCTTACTAGGCAAGTAAATGAATTTTTTCTTCTGCTGTGGAGGCTTGTTAGGAGCTGGAAGGACTTGATCTGGTACAGGTTTTGTGTATGTGCAGACACTTAAAGCTTCATTTTTCAGACTGTTCTAGAGACCTTAGTTTCTTGGCCTTATATTTGCTCTTTAACCCTCCCTTTCTCTTTTGGGTAAATATTACAAGAGCATCTTTAATAGATGTGTGTGTGTATATCTGTATTTATATATACTATTTATATACACGAGAGTATATGTGTATATATAAACTATATAAATATAGTTTGCATAAAATTATCTCAATGTGAGAAGTAACAATGCTGTAAACTCAGATTGCACACACTAGAACAGGACTTGCAGGAAGCTGAGGATGGATCTGGATAATGACCGATTTGACACCTGAGGGTGCGGGAGAGAATCCGCAGCTTCCCTGGGCAGTGTTTGCTGTGGTGTAACGGGCTTGGATCATTGGATTTCCATTCTTGCTGTCTAGCCAAGGTCTCCCTATTGTCTTTCAAATCTGTTATTTCTTGCCTACGGTAAATGTGGAAAACAATTTATTCTCTTCCTGTCTGCAGTATCCTTTTGTGCATGAAGTCACAGTGCTTTTTCTTCAGTCTTGTTTCTTCTCTCACAGGCCAAATTGTATTTGACCAAAGTATTAATTTAAAAATAATATTGATCCTCTATGCTGTTTTTTTCCCTTTTAAGATGAGAATTTTGCTCCTTCTTGCTTGAGGTGTATGACTGCAATCAGATGGATACGTTTCTTAAAGAAGGCTGAGACAAAAAGGCACTAAACGCTAGATAGAGGACTAACACTTTTCTCAGATAAGTATAGGATACTTGCAGTCTATTCTGAATTCTCCTTGATAGTTGTATCTTGTTTTCTCTCCAGCTTTTCATTCCTGAACTTCTTAATACAGTATTTCACTTTCATCATCACTTCCCTTGTTTTGAAGATGATTTTGTAACTTTTTCTACCTCCTCTTCGTCCTCTGTGTTAAAATTACCTGAGGATCTCTTTAACTCCTCTCCCTATACAGCTTTCCGTAAGACCTTGCATACCAGTTTTTGAGTTTATTAAAACCTGCATCCCTTGTAGTAGTTGCCAGTATGCCAGATTCTCCCTATGTCCTTCTAAAGAGGTGAAGAAGTTTCTCATTTGTTACCTAAACTTCTGTCATCATTCTCTGAACCAGCTTTTCTGTAGTGGTGAGGATCATACCTAAATCTCCCCCTCTTCCTTTTAGCTGTTTCCTCCCTTATTTCCAGCAAAACCACTACCAGTTCATTCCGTGTTCTGGGGCTTTCTGTTCTCTTAAAAAGTACTGCAGCAGATATATTTAGCTACACTGGGGAGTATCAGTAAGGGTGTCTCAAAGCATTTTTCTCCAAATAACCAATTTCTACCTTTGTGCCCAATGAACAAGATGCATGGCTTTCCTACGCACTTTTTATTGACCTGTTTCCCTACCTGAGTAACACTTGATGCTGTGGTGCACTGTGCCAGCTTTGACAGCACTACTTTCTTGAAGTGAGCTTTATTTTCCTATGTTTTCAGGGAAGTGGGCCCTGGGAAGCAGGTAAGGAGCCTAGATTTTTGGCACATGCTAGCTTCTGAATACGTTGATTTTAGTATTAAAAGATGCAGTATAGCTGATTTGAGGCTGTTTTGTTCTGTACTACAGAAGTTTCCCAAAGCTTGTATGTTGTAGCTTATGTTGAGTTATACTGTGTCTGGAACTTCTTTCTCTTGGTAACACTATCGATGATGTGCATTATACACAACAGATAGAGCTCAGTTTTGTGTTTTGTTAGCAGAAAATGAGCATGATTCTCGTAAGTAGAAAATTATCCCTTATCTTTGGCATTTGATGTAGCTTGTGAGATGTTTCCCAGTATCTTGAAGTGTGACCAAACTGAAAAAGGGAAAAAGGTTAGAAGCCTGAAAAATATGCTGTCTTCAGAATGGGAGGGTATAGGCTTCTAAATTGCAGTTTAAGAACAGCTGGAGATCATGAACTCTCCACAGAAGCCCTAGCATATGTGATGCGTGGAAGATGGCTCTCTGCAAGGCACAGAGGAGGAGATTATGGAAATTAGTAATAATATTAATTAATGTGCACAGCACCAAGTAAGTATACTACTGTGTCTAGTGCTGGTCTCTTAGAAGCAAGGTTGGCCACGTGTAGAAGAATGGGTAGTGCTGTGTTTATGGACCAGTGTGAAGGACCAGCAGGCTCAGGTCAGCCTCAGTGGTGGCCCTGACAGGTACCTGTGTGGTCCCACATGCATTTCTGCTCAGGTATCCCAGCCCTTCAGCTTCCCATGAGTAGGGCGCTGAATTTCCAGCTGCTGGCACCACAGTAGCATGCTCGCTCTGCTCAGAGCTGTGCCTGACTGTTAAAAACAACGGCAACTTAAAGCCCTGTGGGTGCAGATCAGGAGCTGCTCGCAGTTAGCAGCACATCAGCTGTCTTACATCGGTCGTCCTCAGGGTATTAGTCTGTCATTAGCAATAAAGATGTTAGGTTTATGTGGCTTTACCAAATTGTAAATTCTGTTTTGTAAACTCAGTCTTTGTGTTTTACCTCCACTGCAGCATAAAAACCTGAAGAGATACAGCACTGGCCTTGATCACAGAGCATTTATTTTTTTAATGTGAACTGTCTGGCAAATACAATACTTGTATACAATAGCTTTCCAGGTAAATAGACTGAATAAATCAACAAATAAAGTAGGAATAAGATAGCTTGGTACAGAGCTGTAGTGTAACTCATATCTTGTCAAGTTATGAGTTAATTTTCTCTTCTGTGTTTTTAGATTCCATCTTTATGAAGTTAATATTGATATAACCTTGAAATTCCAGTTCCACCTCCACAAGTTGCTGCATGTAATATTAAAAAGGTGTACAGAGTTCATATGCCAGCTATTAATTGAAGTAGTGCTCAAGCAATATTGAGAAACTAGATAAAATTTGACAACCTATATTATATTCTCAGTCAGGCCTTAGTAACTTCAAAAGACTTTTCTTTGGACAGCAGATCCTGAAGTAGAGGTTGCAACTGCAGACAGGGTTATGGCATGTAGAAGAGAGGTCACAAGTCCAACAGACTTTCAGGTACAGCAAGAAAGATTTATTATATTGGGTATTATTATATTGGGAAGATAACCATATTGGGTTAGTGGCAAAAAGTTTTGAGGATTGCATAGTTGCACAGCAAACAAAATGTAAGTAAACGGCTTCTGTATAATGCAGTAAGTTCTGATTCCTTAAGGTGTTCCAAATACAGAAACAATCTGCAGTTAATTTTTTTAATATTTTTTTTTAAGGACAGTGAAGCTGATCTTCTTCAACAAAACTGAAGAAGACATTCTATGGAGAAACCAACTAGAGCAATTAGCTCTTAAAAATGAAAGGTATTTAAAAGTCTTCTTGCGAATGACTTGTGCCGTCCCAGTGTATAGGAGAACAGGTCTTGCAGCTTAGGCCAACTGTACGGCTTTGTCACAAAGACAGGTCCTGATTCTGGAAAATCTTAGCTAAGAATTTAATGAGACCTCAGGAGTGAAAGGAGATGTGCTTATATCTGTCACAGGTGCATTTGTATTTTTATATATATGTATGGATCACTATGTTCTGTAGGTCCCAGAGGAAGCCAAGGATTTGACATGATGGTTTTCAGTAGATGTTTATTGGAGATGTTATGTTCGGTGAGGTGATCGTTAAGACTGAGAAGCTTTTTGAAGGTGAAGAAAAATAACAATATAAAAGATATGAAAAGACGAGCACAGCAGTGATAGACAAGGACAGTGTACCCTTGGAGCAACGTTCTGAATTTATAGAGAAGCCTTTGGTGTCACTTAGTGGAGAAAAGGTTTATCTAGAAATTCAAAGTTTAAATTAAGCTGGTTACTTTACTTTCACTTTTACTGTCTAATCGAATTGTTGCAGTTTTTCTGCAATTACAATGCAAGTACGGATTAAAACGCACTAGTGCATATGTAAAGTCAACTTAGTTTAGCAGGCCAGAGATCTGTCAGAAGATGGGAATATCAGGTTGCCTTTTAATTTCAGTACCCGTGCTTTCATCACTAGATAAATTGTCACTGCCTAGATGTTACATGGTAGAAGTATGTTTTGCCTATGCTTACTTAATTCTTAGTTGAAATTGTACAAACAAATTAATTTCACTTGTTCCTTCACAACACTGGAGTGAAAAATCAATATTATTTTATAAGCTGGTGATGTCTGGCACATTCAGAGCTTCATAGTCTAGACACTGCAAATTTACAGTAAAAAACATTTCTCCCTTTCGTTAGGAGCTTTAGATACATGAGTACTTGGTTTTTACTCAATAACTGCTCTGTTACTGGATTTTTGAAACCAGTTACAGTATTTTCTCATGAATAAAATTGTACTGACATTTTTACAAGTTTGGCTAAGCATTCTTATTTCACTACTTGTGTGTTGAGCTACACTAACATTTGTGTAAGTGAGTACCAGAACAGGAAAATCTGTGCATTAGTGTCTTAATTGGTACCACATGTTTTTTCTTTGTAAGGTGAAATATACGGTTATTTTTTTTTAAGATTGAAAGATTGAGTTAAATAATTAAATACACAATACTGGAGGCAATTTGATTGGCTTGGCTGGTAGGAACAACTCAATGTCTGTGAGATCAGAGAGCAGGAGCTGAGCAGAACAAGAAAGAAATCATAGGAGGTGTCAGCGTCGCAGTAGCATTTTGTGTGTGACGGATTTCTAATCAGAGACAGTATTTCTGAAATAGTCTTCTGCTTTCCAGGTTTGAGGTTCAGTTCATTCTCTCACAACCAACAAAGGACTGGGTGGGTAAACAGGGGAAGATTTCTTCACTTCTTCTCTCTGAGTTTGTGAAAAGAAGCAGAGAAGACTCCAAAGCACTTATCTGCATCTGTGGTCCAACACCTTTTACAGAACAAGGAGTACAGTGAGTATTTTACATCAACTAGAGAATGAGGAATTTTTTAAAACCTAACCAGCTATAGTGTTTCTAACTTGGTAGTCTTTCAAAAATGGCCTTACCTTTTATGCTTTGCAAGAAAACTTTTAAAAATAAAATTTAAAAAAACCAAGCCATCCACCTGGATGGCCCCTATACTTGAGGAGTATATTTAGTGTGCAGGTCAGTAAATATCAGCAATATGCAAAAGCTGTCCCAAACTTCCTAAGAGCATCTCTTTAACAGTGACTTTTTTTCCCCCAAGGTTTTAAATGCTGCTTTTAATTTGATGTTCACAGAAAGGTTGCTATAATAGGAAATGAGCTTTCTGTGTTGGTGTTAGCTTGCCAAATTAAGTTAGAACAGCTGCTTTGAATTTTACTTTGTATATCACAAGTACTTATCTCAATTTTTTCTTTTATTAATGCATCTATTTCTGTCTGTACCTAGTGCTTTATTTAGCTTTAAATATATAGCATATATAATAAAAGGCCCTCTAATTTTCTGATGCCCAGCTTCAAAATATTGAAGCTGTATGGGCATCACTTGCATTTCTGCAGCCCTACTGAAGTCAGGTGCGTGGATCTAGTGGAGGGTGGAATTGGCCAGTAATCATGCTACGCCTTGAGACGTCTGAGATCATTCAAATGATATCTGTATTTACTTTTAGACATGTTTTCAGTAACCTGGCTCCTAGGCATGAGTTGTTTTCTAAATGTATTTGCAAATGTAAACTTCATTGTGCATGTCAGAATAAAAACAAGGTACTGGTGCTGAAGTTATGCTTCAGTGGTGTCTGTGGTGGTTTTGGGTTCCAGCTATTAATATTACCAACTTGATTTCTGACTTTCAGATACCTGAAGGATCTTGGAAACTCCCAAGAAGAGATACACGCTTTTACTGCGTAAACCTGTATGAGGATGTCAATGTTTGTACAAGTCAGTCTTATTTATTTACCTTAGTGAATTTTAAATATGTGAGAAGCCATTTTATAAGACTTGAAATTTCACTCTTGGTACCAAACTGTTTCTCGGAAGAAATCTATCTTTGGAAAAATTTTATACTGTGTTTTATCTTGTTTTTGTAAATATTTTTGCTAATACTTAAGTCATCCAGGGTATTAATTTATTGTAGGGGCAAGCAAAAATGTACAGTATACATTATCTAAGATATTTCATGTTGTTGGTTCATGAGAATTCTTAAATTTATGACAAGCACCGATTTAGGTTTTGACTTTAAAAATCTTTTTATTTCTTATTGTAAAAAGTCTTAAGAGCAATACTGTCTGAAATTAAATATTGCGTTGTATCTCAGGTCATTGAAGAATGTTCTTTTTCATCTGATATCTCTATTTGACTTGCAAGTGATCCAGATACGTTTTTGGCTTTGTAAACAATAAAAGTACCTTTGGTAAAATACAAAATTTACATAAAATAATAAAAATAAAATAATAATAAAAAAAATTTTACATTACCATGTGCATGTTTGTAAATTTTTTGTATTTTCAGTTTATAATGTGATACAGAAAGGTTTGCACAGACTTAGGACGCCAGCTGAGAACTCAGAGCAGAGGCACAGGGTCTTGGTCTGCAACAAAACTTTGTGTGACCTCACTGATACCGTGAGATGCTCTGAAGGTAAAAATGTGACAGATTATGGCCTGCAGATACCAGGGTAAGGACCAGAGAAGTACCTAAAATTATTTGACAGGTTGCAGTAGTATTAAATGAGGTTATTTGACTCGGTGGGTGTTTTAACTCCATTATTAAAAGTATGTTATGAGGCAGTAATCTACCATATAATAATAGTTTGGGGAAAGAAGCAGCAAAGCAGCTCCCCCCAGTATCTGTAGGCATTGTTTTGTGTGACATCTGGTACCGTTGGCATCCTCCCGTTGTGTTGAATGGGTATTTCTTCCTCCTAGGAAACCAGGCTTGCAGTTGTGATGTTCACGCTTCAGAATTCATGAAATATGTTCTAATAATACCTTCTAAAAAGGTTAATTTGCTGTCTGACAGTGGCTGGCTATGTTAAACTGAGCTGTCAGCTCTTCAGTGCCCTCTTATTAGACCTGAAATTAGAAAAGGATCTCATTGTCAGTCATTCCCATAGGTCACAAATTATTTCAAAAAGAGACACTGGTAGTGTCATCATTTTGTCATCTACATGGACATAAACATTTTCAGTTATAATTTTGCGACGCATTATTTGTGGACATTTGTACTACAAAGCTCTGAACAGGTTTCTCTTCTGCTGAGCAGAAACATAAGCACTATGCTTACTGAATTTTACCATCATTTCTATCACAAACACAAGATTACTGTGATGACTTCAATTACATCTTGGTGTTAATGACTGAACCTTACATCTTCCATAGGATACTGAGGAATTTCTCCTTTCCTGTCACCCAAGATCTGGTGGGCTGGTCTCCTGTGTAAAAGAATTTCATTAATTGCCTCCCTCTCAGGCTTTTTGGTTTTTAACAGGTTACCTTGCCAATATCCTGCCCTTTGTGCTTCGCTTGCCCTTATCTGCCTTTATCCAGAAGGACAAAACAAAGTGTTTTGGATATGCAGCTGTTGTGACACAGTACATCAATGACTTCATCCTTTGCTGTGGGACAGGCCGTATTTGTCTACAGACGATGACTGCAGTCCAGGTGGTGATCACAGATGTGGAGCTGCTTCAGAGTAGGTCTAGAAGCCTGTGCAGTTACAGTGTGCATACCTGTTGTTTTCTGGAAGTCTGGTGTACCAGTGGTCATTGCTGTTTGCAGTTGGAGCTTCAAGGAAGTTGTGCTCTTGGAGGCTTTAGGACTGTCATCCTGAAGCAAGGGAGACCCTGACGTGGTTGGTCATGTTCGGTGTCATAAGGCACGTGGATCTGAACTAATCTTAGTACTCAATCAAAAACTGAGTAATACTGAGATGTTGATGGTACTGATGAGAAGAAAAGGACAACTGTGACATACAAAGGAGACATCCTTGGAGTTCTTGCAAATGTTTTATCTTTGAAGACTTTTGAATGGTTGGTTTCTGATTCATTCCTTGCCAGTCACTGTCAGGCGTTGGATTCAGAAGTGTTTCTGTTCATAATACAAATGGAATATCTAAATGTGGGCCAGCAAAGGGGAGAGGCTGGTGGCTGCTGCATGAGGTCATCTATTAATCACCGTGAAGTTAGCACATGTGGGGATCTCATTGCACTGGAGTAGGGAAAAGGACTGGTGATCCTGCGGTGTGACATGTTGTGCATTAAATACTGAGTGTTTCGTCTTTCTTTTGGGATGACCAAATAGACTTGTGGAATACTCTGTTTAAGGTAACACAGAGCTAGTGTTCTTACGCAGAGCTTCATAATCTGGTGTTTTGGCTGTCACTAATTATAATCAATTAGTGTGGGTAACAATTTTTGTTGTTGTTGTTGAAGTGGGATTTTTTTAATGCATCTGCACGACAATTGTGGTGGCATCTAGTTCTCAACAGGTATCTTGCAACTTCTGGTGGTTATATTCCATGTTATTTTGGTACAGAGGACGAGACCAATACTTTCTGGAAGTTAAAAATATATATATATCCAATATTTGTAACTGATGTTTCCTGAGCTAGATTGTCAGCCTATCAAGCAAGTTTTTAAGAATTTGCACATCTTTGGGGATGCAACATGTTAATTTCCTGAAAAATGGATAGTTCGGGGGGGGGTTGGTACAACTTCCAGTTCTTCAGCATTAAATCAGTGACTTGCCTTGTTGAAATTGAATGGATCTTCCCATAAGCTTTCAGTTGGTTAAAATTACTTTTACAGTAAGTTTATGCTCTAAAAGGAGACATTATCCAGCTTCTGTTGAAGCCGCCTGCAGATTCAGAGTTACTGGAAGGAAAGAGGAGAACGGGAATGGGCTCTCGTGTGCTAGAAAATTGCTACATCTTCCTAGGAAATAGGACTAAAAGTGGAAGATGACATCAGAAGAATATCCTCGTATTACCTGGCTAATGTCACTCTCTGGAATTAATGCTCTGTGCCATCTCTTGGTGGTATTTCATCAAGAAACAAACCCTTTTTAGTCTTCTGAAAGGAAATGTAAAACATTTATCTAAAGATCCTGGCTTAATTACTGTGTTTTCAGGGTCAGACAGGGAACTTGTATGGAGAATCACTTATGAGGAGAAAGGGACATCTGACGTCTCCAAGCTCTGTGTTTGGAACATATTCTTGGATAAACTCTTCAGGTAATTTATGTTTACAGCTGTAGATACATATTTTGTGTAATTAAAGCAGTAGTTTGAAGAAGTAAATACTTGAGTGCAGGATATTAATGTCTGCCAAGAGACTATTAATAAAATATTTGTCCACACATGAGGAACTTGAAAAATGCAGTAGTTAATACAGTGTTTATATTGCATACAGATTGAAATCCTGATTATACATTTTAATCCATTACTAACACTGTTTTATAGCTAGCTGCTGCATGCTGCTGATAATGAAAAGGAATGATAAATTGTTACAATTATTTGCCATTTGTAATTTTAAAAACTCAGCTTCTTGGGTTTTGTTACCTTTAGTAAATGGGAAAGATGGTTGTTTATAGGAAAATCCAGTTTGCAGACACATCAGTTCTTGTTCTAGCATACCTACATATTCAGAGACTGATTAAGACAAGGTCAGAGGAGCCAGTGCCAAGTGGCATGGTTGATCAGCTCTCTGCTGCTGCTCAAGGAGGTGTTTCTATGTTCATTAAGAGATAATTGTTTATAGAAAAATATCCTTATTAAAACCACCCAGTAAATGTAAGGAATCTGGGGAATGCAATCATTCAGTAGGCCTTCATTAACAAAACCCCTCACGTTCTAATGTTTTGTTTACACAGTGTATTGTTTCAGTGCACCAGTTGTTCTGGCTTTTCTGGAGGAGATTCACTGCACAACAGTAAGGCAGAAAAATTGGCTCTGTTGTCTCCTCCCATGTGGTGTTTTTCCTGAGTAAAATTGATTTTTGGGAAAGCCACGGAAGCTTCCATGCAGGTGTATTTTTTATCATATTAGCTCTTGGCTGCTTTTCTGGAATAATCCCTACGTTACAAAGCTGTGCTACACCCAGCATATTTTAAAAGATGGTAATAAATTTTATGTGTCAGTGACCTCTTACCATCAGTGGCTCGTGCTGCTCAAACAAGCAGGTACTGTTCCTCCCTCACCAGAAGGAATATTACCAATATCTTGGAAAATATCTCTTTGGCCTTTTGCACCATCCTTATTTTGTAGTTTGAAAAACAACCAACCAAAACCAAACTAAAGCATAAACCCACCACACAGATTTGTAGATGTTACACCCACAAAATCTGCACATTAAATCACAATTTGAATGGGAATTTTCAGAAACAAGCTGGTTTTTGTGAACTCACACCTCATAAAATGCTGTTGTGGAAGACGTGCATTCCCCCTCTCTCATTCTTCTCTTGCAGATAGGTCTGTAATGTGGCTCTTTGAGCCTAGGGCTTTGGAAAAGGGACTTAAATCCTCAAATGTTTCAATCCTATCTACAGTCTTCCTTGCTGTGACCTTGTCAAGGATGATCCCTACAGTGATCCCTTCCAGACTGCTCCAGGAGGACGTCTTTAAGCATAGTATTCTACATTTCCAGTTGGAAAAATACCTATTTAATAATCTTTTTGCAACAATTGAAAGCCAGATGACACCCAAGTGTGCAGTTGTGAGCAGTCATCATTGGACATCTGTAGTGGAGGGACACTTGTTTCCAAGTTCCAAAACGGACTTTTCTGGTGTGATGAGTGGAGTTGCTTGTTTCTTCCAAGACAGGCTCTCAAAATTTCAGGTATTTTGTGGATTTTTAAGATCTTTTCTAGGCTGAATTGTACTTCTAAAAGCCTCTGATTTCCCTTGAAGCTTTGAATTGATCTACTATTTCTCATCACTTGCTTTGCAGAAGTAGCTTAGCAACAAATGGCCATTTGACATTATTTAAACTTTCTGATCTAGATATGATACCATGTGTTGTAAGTGGCTGAAGTGTAAGTCTTAAGTTTTACTTAGATTATTCTAATACTTCAAAGAGTTTTTGCAAATTGTACATTTTATAAATTCC